CTTCTTCTTGATGTCCAGCTGGAAGGAGAGCATAAAATGTACAAGCCTTGAAGTCCAAACAAAGCCAAGCTCCTTGAACTTGATGAATATTCCCAACTTTGACGCTTTCAGTTCATCATATTCATCAGGTCTGAGATTTGCAGATAGAGCTTCAAACAACTTCTTGTCATCAGAATGATACGAAATGCTCCTCAGAGCAAGGGGCTCTTCTTCTAATGTAAACAACCTCGGCGGCAGTTCTGATATATCCATTTTAAGGCCTGCAAACAATCACAAACAACCATCTCAACCACAAAGGTAGCGCACTATTCTAAATACTATAGAAGACTAGCAGACGACTTCCAGGAAGTGAGATAACTACTCAGACGATTTCCTGGAAGTCTTCTACAGAGTCTTACTCTCTGGACGACTTACATGTAAGTCGTCCAGAGAGTAAGACTTCGTAGAAGGCTTCCAGGAAGTGAGAAGACTACTCAGACGACTTCCTGGAAGTCTTCTACAGAGTCTTACTCTCTGGACGACTTACATGTAAGTCGTCCAGAGAGTAAGACTTCGTAGAAGGTTTCCAGGAAGTGAGAAGACTACTCAGACGACTTCCAGGAAGTCTTCTACAGAGTCTTACTCTCTGGACGACTTACATGTAAGTCGTCGAGAGAGTAAGACTTCGTAGAAGGCTTCCAGGAAGTGAGAAGACTACTATGACGACTTACAGTCGGAGAAGATTTAGACGGAGAAGATGTGAAAAGAAGAGTTGTCCCTAGCGGTTACAGATCTGCATATCGAAGGGAAAAGAAGAGTCAAGACTAAAACTTTTAGGGTTTTCCGGCGGCTAAACGCCTTAAAACATAAGATATAACAAACCGGCGGCGAAGGAAAGGGCTACGAGATTTCAGATTTGAAAAAAAAGGAAGGGGATGGTCAGTTTAAACTACGAAAATACTCTAAGCCATGAAAGAAAAACAAGATTCGTCGAAATCGGAGAGATTACCGGCGAAAACGGAGAGATTCGTCGAAATCGGAGAGATTCGTCGAAATCGCCTTTACAATCGTCCTTGGAGAGAAACGGCGCTAGGGTTTCGGAAAATTGTGAAAAAGNAAACTACGAAAATACTCTAAGCCATGAAAGAAAAACAAGATTCGTCGAAATCGGAGAGATTACCGGCGAAAACGGAGAGATTCGTCGAAATCGGAGAGATTCGTCGAAATCGCCTTTACAATCGTCCTTGGAGAGAAACGGCGCTAGGGTTTCGGAAAATTGTGAAAAAGTGAAAAAATAGCTTTTATATGTCCGGTAATAATCCGGTTAGGTTAAAACGTAAAATGTTAAAATTAACGGTTCGGTACAATTAGACGACTGAAATTTCAGTCGTCTGGGAAATAATTTAAAGCAGACGACTGAAATTTCAGTCGTCTAAACCCTAAACATAACCCCTAAACTTTATTCTCTAATTAAACACTTCGAAACATTAAATTAAACTTGAAAAATGTTTACTATACACAGAAATAAACACATAGAAGTCAAATTAATTTTTTCAAAAAAACATTTCATCTTTTCAAAATCTAACCCTAAGATTACATACAATACTACAACATATGTTTGCCAAACCCTTAAACCAAAGAATATCATGATTCACTATTTCCACTAATCTATGCTGAAAACAAATCAATTTTATCATTTCTTAATTTATATCACTTATAAATGTTTATAATTACATATTTTTAATTTTTCACTCATGAAAATATTTTTTTACAGAATTTATAAATTATTTTTAAGATTCAATCGTCCAGACGACTAACATTTCAGTCGTCCAGACGACTGAAAAGTAACTCTGCCCGACTCAGACAATTTACTGGGGTTATATTCGTAAAAATGTCTTCTGTTTTTTTGTTTGGTCACAGAGGATTATATTGTAATTTCATAGCCCTTTTAGGTTAGATTTGCATTTGATTCAAGTTGGGGTCTAGTATTGGGGTTAAAACCAAGTTGTGGGTTAGTTTTGGCAAAAATCCCTATTTTTTAAACTCGTAGGTCTAATGGTAATTCTGGAAAACAAAACGAAATGATGGTAATATTTAGAATTGACCATATAGGTAAATCAATATATTTAGTGACGTGTCTTGGATTAAAGTAAAAACGAGTAGAAGCCTATAGTGGCGTAATGTGGCCGAGTATATATAGAGAGGTTACGTTTGTTTCTCATGCATCAATCATCACAGAGATCCACCTTCTACTTAAATACTAGGAGCGTCACCAAAAAACTTCTTAGCCATTTAACCATTAAATATGGATAATTCCGTGACCCTCCTCGAGCACTTCCTCTACATGGAAGACGGCGATGATGACGTCATCTACGACGAAAACAGATACGGTGCGGCCGCAGCGATAGCCTCGAGCAAACAAATGCTGACGTCAGCCCTCCATTCCATGAAGCACACCCAAGGAGTTCACGTAAAGATTGCCGATTTAGGCCTCGGAGACGGAGGCCACACGTTTTCCACGGTGGACACGGTAGTTGAGGTGTTACGGCGGAAGCTGGCCGCGATTTACGGCGGAACCGAGCCAGCGTTTGAAGTCTTCTTCTCAGACCTGCCCTCTTCGGACGGCTTTGGACAGTTCGAAAACAGAGTTACCGACTCGGGGAAGAAGTACCACGTGGCTGGCACTCCCGTCTCGTTCTATTGGCCGCTGTTTCCTAAAGGAGAGCTCCATGTTGTTGTGACCACGAATGCCTTACAATGGCTCTCTCACGTATATATATCTTATGATTTAGTTTACGTTACTCACTTCTTGATGATGAAAAAACACAGTATGTATTTACGCACGTAATTAAAAATGGCTAAACAAACGAAGCTTCTGATTGATTATTTATTGTAAATGAAAATATACATAGAAATCTAGTTTTTTTTTTTAAGCTAAAACATAGAAATCTAGTTGAAACTTAATATAATATAAGATTCATTAAACGTTAATGAACAATATATATAATTAACCACAATTTATAAAGTTATATTGTTCCGAACCAAAAAGGGTACATCATTATTTGATGTTTTTGGATATGATAGGTACCGATAAAGGTGATAAAGAAAGGATCGAAGACATGGAATAAGGGAAGGGTGTGGATTGAAGGAGCAGAGAAAGAAGTTGTGGAGGCGTACGCGGAGCAGGCAGACGATGACTTAGTCACGTTCTTGAAATATCGGAAAGGAGAAATTGTAGTAGGCGGAATGTTGTTTATGTTAATGGCTGGTCGACCTTCTGGTTTAGAGAGTCAAGTCAGTGATGACTCTCCTTTCAAGCTCAGTTTCACAACTTTGATGAATCAAACATGGCAAGAATTAGTAGATGAGGTAATATTCGTAATAAAGACACATCCTAACGTTATAACCCTTTTTAATGCTCTATATTATACTCACTCTTTTTTTCTTGTTTTGGTAAAATTATAAAAATTACGATTTAAAAAAAAAAGAATTATTAATAATATAAATTTAAAGTAATATAATCAATTATAAAAATGCAATAATATATTGTCTCAACTAATTTTCAATAAAGTCAAAATTATATTTAAAACATCAAAAAAATACTATTTTGAAACAACAAATATCTTCTAAGGAAACATATGTGTATCAAGTTAACAAATGTTTTCATCTTTTTGGTGAGTTTGTAAAAGGGTTCAATAGAAGAGGATAAAAGAGATGCTTTCAACATTCCGTTGTACCTTCGAAACACTGAGGAAGTCGCGGCTGCGATAGAACGTTGTGGTGGTTTCAAGATAGAGAAGATGGAGATGTTGAAAATAGCTGACCCTATGAATGCTAGACAGCAAGAATTTATGAAAGATCCGGATTCTTACGGACGAGCCATGGGTAATTTGGTTCAAGCTGGTTATATAAAGCCAATGGTTAAAGCATATCTTGGTCCTGACCTGACCAGCAAGTTCTATGAACGGTATGCAATTAAAGCTGCTACCAACAAAGAATTTCTCGCAAAGGATTATTTCTATACTATGATCGCTATTTCAGCGATTCGGGTTTGATTATTATTTTATCTACATATATCACATGCTTAAGTTAAAGTTTATGTCGACGACACCGTTTGACGGATGCTAGCTAAAATAAATGATTTAGTAGACTGAAACCATGTACTTCAGATATATTATAGTGTTGTCCTTTACTTTATCACTACACGATGCATTGATGCAATCATGCAAACAGGGGAAGACGAAATAGGCAAACCCCTCACACTAATTCTAATAACAATCCAACTAATATGTTCCCACACTAAAAAAAACTCACGACGTGGGTCACAAGTTTCCTAAGTCAATAATCAAGAGAGAATGAGAGGAGATGACGGTTCGATCAATCCGTGAATAATCAAGATGATCCAAGTCTTGTGACAATATTTTTTAAAGAAACAATTCTAACAAAAAATAGACTAGTAACCATACGAAAGTTAAAACGCAAGTACTGCTAGTCTCTTTTTCCTTTGTCAGCCAACTACTACCCCTATAGATTTAGATACAGCGATGATTTCATAATATAGATGAATAATTTAATCTCAGTTGCGTGGTAAACATTGAAAACGTATACAAACAGAAAGTTTTGTGAGATTTACAACTTTCAAATGCTTTTTGGTAAACATATCTGTTACACGCTACAACCCATATATAACCATTTACCAAAATTAACCAATTCTTCAATGGAGACTGAAGTCTGAACATTATCAAATGAATGGTAGTTAGAGCATCTTTATCAGTTGGTATGTATAACAAAGTATCTCACAAAACTAGTTTGAATACAATGTAATTAATAATTAAAGTTTAAATCATAAAGATAAAGTGAACAAATCACACCATGTACACCAAAGTATCTTTGACATTTTTGTTGAGTTTCTCGCGGGCCAACGTCACTCTCTTCACTCACCAGCTTTTACTACTTTTCTATTGCTTTTTAGATTTAGGTACTCTTCGATGGAGACTGAAGTTTGAACATTATCAAATAAATGGTCGTTAGAGCATCTTTATCAGTTGGTATGTATAACAAAGTATCTCACAAAACTAGTTTTAATACAATGTAATTAATAATTAAATTTTAAATCATAAAGATAAAGTGAACAAACTACACCATGTGGCATATCACACCAAAGTATCTTTGACATTTTTGTTGAGTTTCTCGCGGGCCAACGTCACTCTCTTCACTCACCAGCTTTTACTACTTTTCTTTTGCTTTTTAGATTTAGGTACTCTTCGATGGAGACTGAAGTCTGAACATTATCAAATGATTTTGGTATGTATAACAAAGTATCTCACAAAACTAGTTTTAATATAATGTAATTAATAATTAAATTTTAAATCATAAAGATTAAGTGAAACAAATCACACCATGTGGCATATCACACCAAAGTATCTTTGACATTTTTGTTGAGTTTCTCGCGGGCCAACCTCACTCTCTTCACTCACCAGCTTTTACTACTTTTCTTTTTGCTTTTTAGATTTAGGTACTCTCTTAAACCGTCAATGAGGTTGCTCTTACAATGTGGAAAATATCAGCTCCCAACAGTTTCATTCATTTAATTACTCTCGAACTTGATACTCACTTGTACAAATTTCATTAGTATAGTAAGACCTTTTCATAATGTTTTCTTGGTTTGTAGTATAACAAGTTTCTAAAAAATGTTATAGAAAATGTCATAAAGGACCAATATATAATAACAAATTTTAACTCTAGTAACATTGTAGTTTGAATAGATGTATAAATCATATATTAGGTTTTTATAAAGGTTAGTAGAAGTTTCGAGAGTTTGAAAACAGAGTAACCGACTCGGGGAAGAAGTACCTCGTCCGTGGAACTCCCGCCTGGTTCAATTGGCCGCTGTTTACCAAAGGAGAGCTCGATGTGGTTGTGACCACGAATACCTTACAATGGCTCTTTCTGGTATATCTATCTTTTGATTTACTTTACTTTACTCACTTCTTGATGAATAAAAAACACAGTATTAATTTGGGTATATATATATACGTACGTAACTGAAAATGGCTAACAAAACGAAGCTTCTGATTGATTATTTACTATAAGTGAAAAATATACATAGAAATCTAGTTGAAACTTAATATAATATAAAATCATATTAAACGTTAATGAACAATCTATAAAGTCAGATTATTCCAAACCAAAAAGGGTATATCATTATATGATAGGTACCGAGTAAGGTGATGGATAAAGGATCGAAGACATGGAATAAGGGAAGGGCGTGGATTGAAGGAGCAGATAAAGAAGTTGTGGAGGCGTACGCGGAGCAGGCAGACAATGACTTAGTCACGTTCTTGAAATATCGGAAAGAAGAAATTGTAGTAGGAGGAATGTTGTTTATGTTAATGGCTGGTCGACCTTCTGGCTTAGAGAATCAAGTCACTGATGACTCTCCTTTCAAGCTCATTTTCACAACTTTGATGGATCAAGCATGGCAAGATTTAGTAGATGAGGTAATAAAGACACATCCTAACGTTATAAACCTTTTTAATGCTCTATATTATATTCACTCTTTTTCATGTTTTGGTTAAAATAAAAAAATTCAAGATTTTTTTAAAACGAATTATTTATAATATAAAGTTAAAGTGATCAATAAATTATAATAATGCAATAAAATATTGTGTCAATTAATTTTCAATAAAATCAAAATTACTTTAAAAACATCAAAAAGAATTATATTTGAAACAACAAATCTTTTCTATGGAAACATATATGTATCACGTTGACAAATTATTTTTTACATCTTTTTGGTGAGTTTGTAAAAGGGTTCAATAGAAGAGGATAAAAGAGATGCCGTCAACATTCCGTTGTACCTTAGAAGCCCTGAGGAAGTCACTGCTGCCATAGAAAGTTGTGGTGGTTTCAAGATAGAGAAGATGGAGCTATTAAAAATAGCTGACCCTATGAATGCTAGACAGCAGGAGTTTATGAGAGATCCGGATTCTTACGGTCGAGCCATGGCTAATTTGGTTCAATCTTGTCAAACAAAGCCAATGGTAGAGGCATATCTCGATCCTGACCGGACCAGCAAGTTCTACGAACGGTTTGCAAATCGGGCTGCTAACAACAAAGAATTTCTCACGAAGAATTTTTTCTATTATATGATCGCTGTTTCAGCGATTCGGGTTTGATGTTATTTTATCTATATATATGCTTATGTCAAATGTTTATGTCGACGACATCGTTTGACGGATGCTAGCTGAAATAAAATGATTTAGTAGACTGAAACCATATGGTATTGCAGATATATTTTTACTTTATAACTACACAATGCATTGCATTGATGCAATCATGCAAACAGGGGAAGACGAAATAAATCGGCAAACCCCTCCCACTAATTCTAATAACAATCCAACTCATATATGTTCCCACACTACCATAAAAAGTGATGGCCTATTCGCTCAGTTGGTTAGAGGGTTGTGCTAATAACGTCCACCCAAATAAGAGATTACTCATTTCCAGTTCATGACATATAAGATTCTGTTAATGCAGTGTCTTAAACAATATTGAGTTGATTGTATTATATTGCATTGTAACATTCTAAAAAATATATATATGAAGAAGCGAGACTTATATCTTTTTTTTTGGGGTCAGACGAGACTTATATCTTTTAATTCTTATTAACTAATTAACTAAGAGGCAAAACTTATAGGTGAAATGTCACGTTGGTACGTACAGCAGTATCAGGCATCAACTGGGACATGAATAGTAAAAGCACCCGCTAGCAGCAATACTAACTGTGTAAGGAAGCATGGAGTGATCTTAATTACATGCTTAAAACATAAGCTTAACTTATCTTTTGGTTTGACAAAGCTTCTAGCAAAGACAAGTAAGTAATATTTTTCCTTTTTTTTTAGTATTCTAGTTCTTATGAATTTGCATTAATACTATATCTATATCAAATTAGATTTAAATATTAACTCAAGCGGTAAAGTTTTGGTAGTTAGACACTTAGACTATGATCTAAAGAAAAGGTGGATTGCATTGCATCCCTATGATCTTAGTCGCCTTCTTGTTTTAGTTGGTAAGAACATGCATGAACCGATTTTTTTATAGTAACTAAATTAATACGAATAAAGAAACTATGAAGTGACATCATACTAATCAAAGCATGTTCATATATATGCGAACATATATATATATATATATATATATATATATTTTTTGATAGGTTTGTAAAGCATGTTCATATATATGCGAACATATATATATATATATATATATATATATATATATATATATTTTTAGAATGTTCAAACCCCTATATATTATATTGCATTGTAACAATCAAAATCAGTATAATAAACATGCGAATAAACTTCAATTGTTTCATTATTTGTTTGTGCGTTTGCATTAAAATTAATATAATATGGAAATACAAACATAAACGCAGAATATTTTAATGTTTATTGTGCTATTGTGAAACTGTCTTCACAGTAATTATGATACGAACAAATTATATATATGATTTGCTTAAGAAGTATGGAAAAGACATTCATTTTTCTCATGCCATTTGTTTCTGACCAACTGCTAGTCTCTTATTCTTGTCTTTTGTCAACCAACTACTACTCCCTTTAGATTAGAGACAGTGACGTATCTTTTTCACAATACTGTATAGGTGAATACTTTAATTCTTTTTTTTGGTAAACTAAAAAGAAAAAAGCTTTTTAACCATTGAAACCGTCTACTAACATAAATTTTTGTGAGATTTATAACTTTCAAATGCTTTTTGCTTAAGGTAAACATATCTGTTACACGCTATAACCCATATATAAACCATTAACCAAATTAACTAATTATTTGATAGAGACTGAAGTCGTCATTATCAGATGAACGGTCCCCACAGTGTGGAAAATCTCAGCTCTCAACAGTTTCATTCAGTCAAAATTTTATCCAACTTGAGTACATATTTCATTGGTATTATTAAAATAAATCTGAGGAAGGGTTTACTAATAAAACTTCTTTCATAAGGTTTTCTTGCTTTGTATATAAAAAGTTAAGAAAATGTCATAAAAGACCAATAATTACAAATTTTTAACTCCCATAACATTATAACTTGAATAAATGTATACATCACATATTATGTTTTACAAAGGTTAATAAAATTTTAGTTTAGAAATAGTTCTTGAAGTATATATAAACTTTAAGGAACCATTTTCTAAACCTAAAATTATATTTGTGATAGTTTTAATTTCTCAGGCTTAATGGTTATTTTTTGGTAAAAAGGTTTAATGGTAATTTTTGAAACAAAACAAAATGATGGTAATATCTAGAATTAACCATGTAGGTAAATCAATATTTTTACCTTGGATTAAAGTAAAAACGAGTAGAAGCCTATGGAATGTGGCCGAGTATATAGAGAGGTTAATTAGGTTTGTTTCTCGTGCATCTTCATTAAGACCATCACAGAGATCTTCCTTCTTGCTTAAATAGTAGTAACTTCACCAAAAGATTTCTTAGCCATCAATACTATTAAACATGAACTATGACATGTCACATGAGCCCCGAGTACTTCCTCTCCATGCAACGCGGCGATGACGTCATCAAAAACAGCTCCGGTGCGGCCGCAGCGATAACCTCGATCGAGCAAACAAATGCTGACGTCAGCCCTCCATTCCACGAAGCACACCCAAGGAGTTCACGTAAGGATTGCCGATTTAGGCCTCGGAGACAGAGGCCACACGTTTTCGACGGACACCGTGATTGAGGTGTTACGGGCTTACGGTGGAAGTTGGCCGCGAATTCTAATAAGATCCGTTTTTTTACGTCTCACACTAATAAGAAACATAGTGGCATATTAGCTCAGTTGGTTAGAGCGGTCACAGGTTCAAAACCTTTATAGGCCATATTTTTCTGTATGATTGTCTGTATGAAATTTGAAATGTGTTGCTATCTTCTTGATGATGAGAGACGACGAAAGAAATCATTCGGATTCTCATTATTTTTCAGAAATTTAAAATTTTAAGAAACGATCTCTTAACTTTAAATTTTTTTTTAGTTCCACTAAGAAATCCACCTATTTTATTAAATAACTAATTTAATATTTTTTAGATAAAATTCAAAAAATAATTTTTTAATTATATTAAGAATCTTATCCATAAAATACTCTCAATAATTATGTTCTAACCCTACACAATTTAATGGGCTTTTTAATGTCTCTATTTATAACTCATTTAAGAGTTTCTCAACTAATCTTTTCTACTAGTAACGTTTAACTATTTGCATGTAATAAACAATCTTTTTTTTTTTTTTTATTATTATTTTTTTTTTATTTTTAAAAACAATCTATTTTTTTTTTAAACGCTCCCAGGCCCTTTTATCGAGACAACCCTAGAAGAAAACTCCGTTCATCTTTTCACGGCGGCTCCGTCGCTAAGCCGCTGATCTTCTTTCTACTCATACTCTATGTTACGGTGGATCAATTGCAATCCTCAATCTTTGGACTTCACTCATCTAATCCGTCTTTCTTTGAATTTCTATGGATCTGCCAGAGATACCTCCTTTCTGTAAGAGAGATTCAACGCCTCCCTGCAAAAACAACCATGACTCCACTATTCCTTCGTTGACCACATCTCCTCCGTCACCTAACAATTACAACAGCCATGACTCTGTTGCTCCTTTGTCGACCACAGCTCCTGCGCACGGTGAGTCCTTTGCTGTTGGTCCTGCAAACTCCGACCAGGTACCAAAACCGATCCAGTCTCTTGAGGCTCCTCAAGATGTTCTTAACCAAATCGAAGAGACTATAGAAGAAGCAGCAGCTTTATTCGTACCTTCGATGGGAGCATGGACAAAGCCACTTGTTTTAAAGTTCCCTCCTCCTTGTACACCACCAGAGCCATCAACGCCTTGTAGCTATGATCCACTGTTAGTGCAAAGCCAGATTGAGACATTTTGGCCTTCACTGGAGAAAAGTACCAACTCTACAAAGAATAAATCTTCTTTGCTGAAAGTACCTTCTTCACCGAACCTCCCAGTTCCAAAATTGCCGCCCCCAGAGCTAAAGGAAGATGGCTCACTCCGCTTTCCATGGGCTGCAAGGATGAACCCAGCAACAAGGAACTTGTATCGTGCTTCAAGACCAACTTTCAGACTTGATGGCACTCCTGAGATCATCATTCCAACTAAGGTACTTCAACTTGGCCCTGAGAACGTTGGAGAATATGTGATTGGGCAATTTCATAGCTGTTCTGCTCCCTCGGGTGGTCTTACCCATGCTGTTGTAAACCGTCTCTGGGGTAGAAACTGCAAAATTGTTAGTCAGAAACTAGGCGAATCCTCTTACCTTTTCCATGTTCCACACAAAGAGACAAGACAGTGGATTATACAGCGTTGCGTCTGGCATGTAGATGACTGCTTAATGTTTGTAGCTCCTTGGAACTCGGAAGGCTCTCTAAAAATTCCTGAAATCTCCACTGTACCAGCTTGGGTGACCCTACAAAATATCCCAACCAGCTGCTACTCTAGACTTGGAATCTCGCACATTGCTTCAGGTCTAGGTGAGCCCATGGTTACGCATAAGCCAAGACTGGATCCCTTCAACATTGGAGAAGCTAAGATTTTGGTGGAAATAGAACTCGACAAGAGTTTCCCCAAACAGATTGCTTTGGACGACAAGCTTGGCAACATATTTTTAGTTGATGTTATCTACTCTTGGATTCCATCAACTTGTGAAAGATGTGGGAGTCTAGGTCACAAAGCAAAGAGGTGTTTAATAAAAGAAGACAAAACTCCACCAACAAATGAAAAAGAATCTGAACACAAGGATGTGGATATCCCAGTGGTTGCTATAGATTCTTTCTTGGATAATATTGATTCTGATGTCCAGCAGAATTGTGTCACTCCTATGGTGCCAGTAGAAGAGCTGCCTGATCAAGCAGATGATCAGATTCTAGGACAAGAGTTTGGTCCTCAAAAAACTGTCGTTACACCTCAACATGTTCCCTTTCAACTCAGGAAGCCAGGAGCGTCTTCAACAGACATTAATTCTTCACCGATAACTAATGATTCTATGTCTCTTCAGGTAGCTATATCTCACAAGGATAGCTCTGCTACTTTCCGTAAATCATTTCCGGATGCAAACGTTACCCTTTCTTCTACGCTAGCAGGTACATCATCTGCTCACACTTCTTTACAAGTTATGGACGATGTTCCATCAGAAATTATCATGAATGAGGGTACAACACTCTCAGAAAATGATCCTTTAAAAATGATCCCTCTTTCAACCGAGTCAATCCAAGAAGTAAGTAATATGGAAAGTGATTTTCATTTCACTGAACAAATGGATGAATTTGGAAGCATGACAAGAGGGGGTCGGTTGATCAAACCGCCAGAAAAATACCAAGATATGGGATGGACGAAAGCTCGTGGCAAAGGAAAACGAGGCCCTAAAAGTCGAGGTTCCTATCAAACGCACTAATATCCTACATAGTTTGGTTAAACTTTAGAGTTGTACTAAGTTTTCTTACTTAGATAGCTCTTTCTCTATCTACTTCATGTATCAAACTTTCTCAAACTATATGATCTAACAAATCATATCTTGTACTTTGTTTTAATTTTAATGAAAGCCATTTTACAAAAAAAAAAAAAAAACTATTTGCATGTAATGCTGCAACCATTGGAAATGAGGCCTAGGCAAAAAAAACAGAACTGAAAAACCTAACTGTAACCGAATTGTTCCTACCCTAAACTGAACCAAATATCCGACATTCGGACCAAAATGCCCAACTGGCAATAATAATAACGCGTTATTACACAAACTATCAAATGGGCGTTTGGTCTAGTGGTATGATTCTCGCTTTGGGTGCGAGAGGTCCCGAGTTCGATTCTCGGAACGCCCCATCTTTTTAGCTTTATAGAGTTTTTACCTATAAGAAATCAGCAACGAGTTTAGAGTTTTTAAATGTTGTTGTTGTACCTCTCTACGAACACATTAGTCTTTTTATTCAAAGAAGACGAACAACAACACTTTGATATGACATAAGCTAGTCAACATAATATCCTGCAAATAGTGATAACATAGCCTAAGATCAGCGCGCGATATCTTTGCCTTCTCTCCTCACACTCGAGGCGTGGAGGAGTCCGAGTTCAGTAACTGATGATGATACACAAGTAAAAGGTCATCCACACACTCAACAAACAAAACCAAAACGCAAACAAGTTGTCGACTGATATTATTAAGAGCTAGGCATGAGCAATAATGATATGGCCTCAACTTCAAAAACTTGTGTGTATTAATTATCCAAAGACAGAAGATAAAATTTAACTTTTAGCTAATATCAGCCATGAGATCGATAATAAACCCGCCAGTTTTTCAGCCTTAAATGGTTTGTCTGTTTGTTTCTTCAAGGGTAGTAACCGGTGAAAGTGAAGCCTCTTCCAACGATCTCACCAGCACAGTACCAAGCGAAGCATTCCAAACCAAAAAGTGCTGCGATCCCAGCATCTTCAACCTTCAAATCCGCACGATTCTTCCACAAACCCTTCACGTGATCCACTTCTTTCCAGAACGACTCAGTACGTCCAGGAATGCTGCCATCCACATAAACCAAGTCAGATGTCATGCAAGCAGCAACAAAAAAAAAGAAGTACAATTCATGAATAACATATAATCATTGAATAGAACAAACAAGAAATCTACAAGCACTGAAATATCGGTATTTAGTTCAGACACAAGCAAAGCAGAGACCTTAATTATAGTTCCATTATCCTTGGATTAATCACTAAACCATCCCAAAGCCTAAATAAGCTCAGATTATCTTCATCATTCAAGATCCTTACCACACAAACCAAGATACCGCTATTATTATTTCCCTTTACAACATAATAACAACAGACAGAAATAGAAAAGCTTTAATCTTTAAAACAAGAAGAAAGCTATTAAACAGCAAGTCTTAGTCAATTTATCATCTAACTAACACATCAAACCTTATCCGGGATCATATAAGAAAGTTTAAAAGGGGACCTAGCAAGACGAGTGTAGAGAAGCTGTTTAGACAACTCTTGGCATTTCTCAACAGTGGCTGGCTCCTGGATATACTGCTTGTTCTTCTCCAGCAACTGTTTGTAGTAAGTGGTTCCGTGTTTGGACACAAATTTTGATGCCTCACAGGCCTTAGACTTCAGCTGTAGCAACTTTGATGCCATCTCTCAAAACTCACTGTTTCCTAAACCATCACACAATAAGGATTTACAGAATTAAAAAAAAAAGAGCTAACGGATGATATGATACTAAAAGTTAAATCCAATTCCAAATATCAAATGCAATCAAAAGGATTGAGCTTTAGAAAGACACAAAGGAACCAAAAAAAGCATCATTGGTACCGTGACCACCAATTCAATGTCCACCAAAACAAACCCTAATCATTGAAAGTTTAGATCTTTTTTTCAAAATAGCAACAGACCTCATTATTGCTCGTCAGCGAAAGCTAAAGCGCAGATCTATACCCCACAAAAGGGTAAGAGACAAGGATGAAACTTTGAATCTAAAAAAGGGAGAGAGTAGTGATGGTTCCAAACCTTGCCGATTACAACAGGGATTCTAGTGGTGGTGTCACCGTTATCGGAGAAACAGCACTGCAGAGCTGGATCAGCGGAATCTCTAGACTTGTGACTTTTGTGAGGTTTTATTATTACAACTCCCAATTAGTGGTCGGTGCAGAGAAAAATAATAATATTATGGGCCTGAGATGGGCTTTAACTAACATTTTAATAGCCCAAAATAGAAAGTCTGCTATGAGGGAACGGTGGTGAGTGCTCTCTTGATTCAAACAGCTATTTGATAGATAGCTTTTACATGATTTGTTTCTCTTGTTCTTTCTGTTCAGCTGACTTTGCTTGGTGGAGCCCTCTTTTTTTGCTTGGTGGAGCTCCCTTCGCATGCACATGACATTTCTTTTACTTAGCTAAGAAGACATATATGTTTTACGTTTCGGTTCATTTGGTGAAAACTAGACTGATGAAGCTAAAGAAGCTCTTGCACTAACTGTAAGAGCATCCGCAACAAGGAATCCTTAGAGGAATCCTTAGGAAAAAAGAAAAAGGGGTATTTCAGATTATATAAGGATATTTCAGATTATTTCTTTAAAATAAAAAAATCTGACCAATCGTGGACCGACACGTGGGCAGTGGAGCCCATGAATAGTGTAAGGATCCATCCGGATCAATCCTTACTTAAGGATTTTATTCTTAAAACCCTTAACTGTTCATGGGACCCATTGGTTATAAAATTAATATTTTCTTAAGGATTCTTCCTAAGGACCCCTTGTTGCGGGTGGTCTAACATTGTTTTATTCTTAGAGCACCCGCAACCACGGGTCCTTAGGAAGAATCCTTAGGGAAAAAAAGGGCATTTTTGATTATATAAGGATATTTCAGATTTTTTTCTTTAAAAAAATAAAAACTGACCATTCACGGGCCGCCACGTGGGCAGTGGAGCCCGTGAATAGTGTAAGGATCAATTCTTAAATAAGGATTTTAAGGATAGAATCCTTAACTGTTCATGGGACCTACTAATTATAAAATTAATATTTCCCTAAGGATTTCTCCTAAGCACATGTGGTTGCGGATGCTCTTATGACTCGTTAGTACTAATTTTAAGCTTTGTATTGATAAATGTGATTGATTGGTGAAGCCCTTGGGTGTGGCATGTGCCCCCATACAAGTTTTTATTTCTTTAGCAGTTAACATAAAATTAATGTAGATGCCCTTGATATAGACATTTTTTCTTATTGTATGCCCTTGATAAACAAGTGGCTGGATCCGACCCTGGTGATATTACTTTGTGCATTCATCAACTTCAGTTGATTGACTTGCAGCACTGGTAAGAAGTTTTCAGATTTTATTAGTGTGGTTGATAGCTGAATAACCAATATCGGTTTCGTGGCCTTCTGTTGTCTGTCTTACAGGGTGCTACTTAGACCTTAGTACTTAGTAACATGGAAACAGTCCCTTTCTTGTGTTGTATCTTACGTGCAACTTAAAAAGCTGATGAAGATGTTGAGGTTTTAAAATTCATAGGAATATTCTAGATGAAAATGGTCATTCAGCTGTCAACACATTAAAATGTTTTGCCGTAACTTCCCCACAAGCTACACGGTCAATTTCACTACCATCATATATACTAAACTTCAGTAGCAAGTCAGACAGCCAGAATAAGGCTAAGTCTCATACTCGTTTTGCCTTCATTATTGGGCAGTCAATGCCCAAAAGCAGAAAATTGCAATAAAGCAGCAGAAGAAAGAGTTGCGTCTTGCGTTTTACAATGACTCGTCCATGAAAGTGATGATAACATTTGAAGAGGCCAGAGACTTATCATATTAATAATTAAACTAAAAATCAACTCAGCTTTTCAAACTTAAAATGAACAAATAGTAATAGAGAATGAAAGCCAAAGGAGAATTCTTATTATTGATTAATGATAAAACAAAAGAGATACAAAGGGATGCAAGGTTGATCAAGGTCGGCACTGACAAAATAGGCAAACCAAAACACAAGACCAACCACCTCTAATCTCACAAACATAAAAACTCAAACGAGGTCGCTATATATAATTATGATAAAATTATATATATATATAGCTAAACCTTTAATTAAAAACCAAAATAACAAAAAAGAAAAGAAAAGAGTTGCATAGGATAGCTTCAGCTAAAAGTAGCTATGCGGCAGAGGGGGCAAGGCTCGTGAGAACATCACCATCAGATTCATTGGAAGCCAAGAGTGCATTAGCGATTGGATTCAACTTAGACTCAGTTTCCACAAAGTTCTTGTAGTCCAAACTTGGATCTTCATAAATATCCCACCATTTCTTCACAAGCATTTTTATGTCTTCACGCTCCATGTGCTCTTCAGTTTCATCATATTTCCATGGCTTTGACCCCTATAAAATTGATTCAGACATGAGTATATATATCTAAAAAATAAGACAAGAAAAATATTATGGAGTTCAAACAAAATAAAACGTACATTTGCGCAGTAATGGACCACACGGATTTGGTTAAGGTCAATAAGTTCCGGGTGACGCCATAACATAGCCAACACAAGGTTGTAGGTGGAAGGAATTGGCTTGTAGGTGTCTCTGAAATACATATTCAGAAAATCCTACAAAAGATAAAACAATAATATTAGCATTATAAAATAATGTAATTTAATGAAAAGAGAAGATAAAACAAACCTGTTCAGCAAAATACGTTGGGGTAGTGATTTGGACAACACGAAGGAGATCCTCGTACACGTCAAGATTTGGCTCAAACAGTAACATACCAGCATTGAAATAGGTAGGCGGGGGAGAACCGAGAGTTTCCACCGGCCATGTCACCTTTTCAGGTGATTGTTGGCAGTAACCGATCTTGTACTGAGCAGTATTGCACCATGATATTTCACAAAAGCAATCTTTAACCGCGTACAAGTAACCAGAAGGAGTGTCGAAAAGATGATCAATGTTACCAAACACTTGAATATCACCATCTAAATACATCACCTTCTCGTATTCAACAAACTGCATTATATTTTTCATAAGTCGTTAGATATGCTAGTTATGTTTCGAAATGTAACAAATATATAATGAGAAGGAATGATATACAATTATAATAATATTATATTATGTAAGATTCTTACCTCCCAAATACGAAGTTTGGAATAGTTAAGGACAAAATAAGCCATGGAATAACCGATTTTGTTTTCTGGAGGAATGACCATTTCGATGTCACGGATGATGCATCCCTGAGCCAACAAGATCTGACGGTGTTCTTCCGGCACATCAGGAAGACAGGCCACCACAAGAGGATAAGCTGACTTCACCTTACGGAGTCCTTTGGCTAGACCAACCACACCCATCCAGTAGTCTTTGTTTCCAGCAAGGAAAGTGACGTAAGCCCTTTTGCCAACATTTGCATTCACTTTCACGTCAGCTTCGATCTTCTGGAGGGTCATGTTCATTGCCATCTCAAACGATTGAATGATACTTTTAGAGAGATTTAGGAGATAGTTTTAAGTGTGAGAAAGATGAAGAAAAGTCATCTTATTATATAGCAAACGAGAGGTGTGTATTCGGGAATTAAATGAAAGGATTAATTTTGGATTTCAATATCCATTCCATTTATTTAATATCGACTTATTTTTAGAAATGATGATCTTCGTGTTTGACAAGTTTATATCTTAGAGATTTCTGAATTATATATAAAGAATAGGAAAGCACCAACTATGGAAATATCGATAACATGCTCCAAGATTTCTTAAATTTAATTACCGTAGAAATGAGAATGTTTCAAAATATTGAAACCTCCAAGTATGGATATAGAGATAAAATACTCCAAGATTTCTTAAATTTAATTACCGCAATTAAAGAAATTGGATCCAACTATGGAAATATGGATGAATTATCTAATATCTATATTCTTTCATCACGAATATTTTCATTTATTGCAAATATAGAAGAAATTAAAGGCTATAAAAAAGAGAATATATCCCATAGATTTATCAAAAATGTGTAAGATAATAAACATCTCAAGTTTTTGATTAATAGAAACGTGTGCTTCTAAAGTTGGGCTTCTGTTGAATCGAAAGCCCATGCTGACCTTAAAGGGATGATCTTCGTCATTTTTCTCAACACACTCTAACCGGAGATTAAAAACCAAACCAATTAAGCAAAGCAAAAACTTCGAGGAAATGCTACAAAGTCTTTCAAGTTTACAGATCACTTCTTACGTACTTACATCAGAAGAAGATGAACGTTAAAAGAGTCACACATTCGTACATCATCGTGTCTTCTTTTGGACTCGAGCTAAATGAGCATGATTTCAATGTTTAATCTTCAAAAGAAAAACATATATCAAGCTAGGTATAAATTAAGATAGATTTTGGTTCTGCTTATGAGACAAACAATAGTAGTATAATATTTAAAAAGACATTATGACATGCAAGAATATTCCAAACGTGTTTGCATGAACACGTTGATGTACCGTGCAACACAAGTTCTTCACTGCCAGTGTTACTTTTTTTTTTATCTTTTTTTTGCCAGTGTTACTTTATCTTCTCAAGTAGTATATTTTTTTTTTATAAATCAAAACCAACATAGGCTGTACAAGTCAAAGATCACCCGCGATCTAATTCTTTGTTGTGGTGTTTGAGATGGGTTCTTCTAAATAAACATTGTCAAAATTACAATTTAAAACAATACGAATTATAATACACGTAAGCATGTACTTGCTTATAGATCCTGTTCATAAGAAGGGGATGATGTTTTTCATAGCGTTCCAACAATACACTAAAGCTTATCCGAAGCCACTTTCAGACCATACACATATAGACAAGTCTGGCTTTGTAAAGTACAAAAGGAGATCAGATCCTGAACGTGTAGTCTTGAAGAATAACATTGAGATCGGGAACCAATTTGTAGTCGCTCACAACCTCGGTCTCCTCAAGAAATATCAGGCCCATATCAATGTCGAGTGGTGTTGCCGGACGGGTGCGATCAAGTATCTATTCAAGTATATAACTAAAGGTGTTGATCGAGCTACGTTCCTTTTGGAAGAGAAAAGAAAAGAAGGTGGTGTGATAAATGAGATAGAAAGATATATGGAATGTCGCTACATATCTGCGTGTGAAGCCTCATGGAGAATTTTTGCCTTTCACATTCACCACAATCAGCCTAATGTTATAAAACTTCCAGTACATCTACCAGGTCAGCATCATACTGTCTTTGATGAAGATGCAGACTTGACTGATGTTATTTCAAAGGAAGATGTTGAAAAAACTATGTTAACTGCTTGGTTTGTGGCATGTGAGATGTATGAAGAAGCACGTGAGCTCACATACGTTGAACTCCCCACTAGATTCGTTTACCACACGTCAGGGAAACTATGGACACGAGGAAAACAGGAGGAGCAATAGGAAGGGTGGTCTATGTCAGTCCGGCTGCTGGGGACAAATATTTCTTAAGACTTTTGGTCAATGTTGTTAGAGGACCAACATGTTATGACGATATAAAGACAGTTGGCGGAGTGGTTTTTAAGAAATACAGAGAGGCATGTTATGCGCGAGGGTTGCTTGATGATGACAGAGAGTGGCATGATGCTATAGAGGAGCCATCTTATTGGGCTACTGGTCGCCAGCTGAGACGGTTGTTTGTGATTATATTACTTTTCTGCCACGTAATTAACCCACTCAAACTCTGGGACCATACATGGAAGTTTCTTGCAGAGGACATTCTCTATCTGAAGCGGAAAGAATTCAGATTCCCAGAGCTTGAGCTCAGCGACGAGCAGCTCAAACAATATACTTTGATTGAGCTCGAACAAATTTTGCAGGAGAACAATCAATCTCTAGCAGATTATCCCGATATTCCAGTGCCGGATGATGCTGTACGGACAGAGATTTCCAACACAGTTCTGATGCAGGAGTTGAGTTACAATATTCAGAAAGAAAGTGAGACGCATGAGGAACTGATCCAGACAATAAATGCAGAACAGCGAGTAATATATGATGCAGTCCTGGAATCTGTTGAGAATAAAAATGGACAGTTATTCTTCTTGAATGGGGCAGGAGGTACTGGTAAAACTTACCTTTACAGAACCATAATCGCAAGGCTTAGATCAACAAATAGAGTTGTCATCCCTGTGGCATCGTCCGGTGTTGCTGCATTGCTGCTACCTGGAGGTCGAACAGCACATTCACGCTTCAAATTGCCACTGACTCTCAGTGATGTGTCCATGTGTAACATCACAAGATGTTCAGCGGTGGCGTCATTGATAGCAAGGTCAGATTTAATAATATGGGACGAAGCTTCGATGGCACACCGACAAGCTTTTGAGACTCTAGACCGTTCATTCCGTGATCTACTAACGCCAACAGATCCATCAGCTGCTCACAGACCTTTCGGTGGCAAGACTGTCATATTGGGAGGCGATTTCCGACAGATATTACCAGTAGTGCCTCAAGGGAAAAGAACAGACACGGTCCTTGCGTCCATCAGCAAATCTTATTTGTGGAAAAGTACTAAAGTTTATACTCTATCTATGAACATGCGATTGAAAGAAGGAGACGGTGAATTCGCGGAATGGATACTGAAGGTTGGTGACGGGAAGGCTGATACTGTATCTTCTATTAAGAAAGAAGACGATGATGGTGACAGAATTGTTGTTAACAAAAGCTTCATGATCCCTGCAACAGATAAACCTCACGAGGCGTTGGCAGCTGCGGCATATCCGGAGTTTGTTCATAATTTTAGGAACAAGAGTTACTTAACAGAGCGAGCAGTGCTGACACCTACAAACAGTACTGTCCATGAGTTGAATGCCTATATGCTCTCACAGGTCCCGTCCCAGCCTAAAGATTATTTGAGTTCCGATTCAGTAGAGCTTGAAGCTACCCCAGAGGATGATTGGACTAGCCACTATACTCAAGAGTATCTGAATTCACTAGAGTTTTCAGGGCTGCCTAACCACAAACTGTGCTTGAAGGTAGGAGCTCCAGTGATGATGCTGCGTAATCTGAACCAAGCATATGGTTTATGTAACGGAACCCGGATGATTGTCACGCGTCTAGGAGACAGGGTAGTACATGCTGAAATCTTAACTGGCACCAAGGTAGGCGAAACAGTGTTGATCCCCCGAATTCAGCTCTCCCCACTGGACACTTTGGAACCATTCACGTTCTATCGTCGTCAGTATCCACTGCGGTTATGCTATGCCATGACGATCAATAAAAGTCAAGGACAAAGCCTTAAGCAAGCTGCTTTATATCTCCCAAGATCAGTCTTTACCCATGGCCAGCTGTATGTAGCTTTATCTCGAGTTACATCCCCTGAAGGTCTAAAGATACTAGATGATTCTTCTGATTCAGACCGTGCAGATGGAGTAACAAATATAGTATACAAAGAGATATTCAATGGCCTAATTAACACCGAGGTTCATGTAATGCTAACTCTCTTAATGAAATAATGGTTTTTATTAGTAAAGTAAACTCATTCTCATTAATTAAATCTGAATGTACAAGGAGGATATTTATATCATTTACAGACTCGTGACTACCACTATACATGACCGTTATAACGGTTATAACTGACTCCTATACAAGCATTGAAACTATACAAATGACTCAATACCAGTATAGTATAATAGTCCCCCTCAAGATGGGACGAAAATATTGAGAAGACCCATCTTGCCAAAGAGCTTCTTAAACGGCGCAGGATACAAAGGCTTAGTGAAAGGATCCGCAAGTTGTAGCTCTGAGCGTACATGCAGCAAAGTGAACAAACCCTGAACAAGCCTTTCTCTCACACTATGACAATCCATTTCAAGGTTCTTCGTACGCTCATGGAAGACAGAGTTATGAGCAATATGTATAGCAGCGGTATTATCACAAAATAGCAGAGTCTTCTTAGTCAAAGACAAGCCGAGCTCAAGCAGAAAGTTATGTAACCAAAAGAGCTCATCAGACACGACAGAGAGACTTCTGTACTCTGCTTCAGCAGAGCTTTTGGCAACCACTTTCTGTTTCTTGGATTTCCAGGAGATGAGAGATGTGCCAATGAAAATACAAAAACCAGAAGTGGAACAGCGAGAGTCTTGACAAGAACCCCAGTCAGCGTCAGCAAAGGCTTGAATTTGCATCTCAGCCTGTGAAGAATAGAATAAGCCCTGACCAACTGTCCCTTTAACATAGTGAATAACCTTCATCAGTGCTTTATGATGACTCTGACGAGGAGCAGAGGAGAATTGGCTGAGCTTATTCACGGCAAATGTAATGTCAGGTCTTGTAATCTGTAAATACATAAGACGGCCAACAAGACGTCTATATGCTTCAGCATCAACAGGAAGATCAGAAGGGTCAACCTTTGGATCAGTCGTCAACTTAAGAGAGGGATCCATCGGAACACTGGATGGTTTACAGCCCAGAAGTCCTGTATCAGCCAGCAAGTCAAGAGCGTATTT